ATATATATGATAGTTAAACTAGCTAATTAGCATATGCATCTTTTTTTTTTTACTGGTGAGAACAGTTGACATCCATTCTCAGCATTCTGTTTTTAACATTTAAAAAATTTTATTTTATGTGTATGCGTGTATTGCCTGCATGTAGATAAGTGCACCCGTGTCGTGCAATGCCTGTGGAGGACAGAAGAGGCTGTTGGATCTCCTGAGACTGGAGTTACAGACAATTGTTAGCTGCCATGTGGGTGCTGGGATTCAAACCTGGATCTTCTGCAATAACAACCAGTGTTCTTAACCACTGAGCCATCTCTCCAGCCCTATCCGCAGCATCCTTAAAGGCTTTATGACCTTGGGCAACTCCTCATATCTTGAAGTAGAGACAGTAATATCCCATAGGATGATTGTGAGGCTTAAACCAGCTAATGCTTATTATGAACTTGGAACAGCTTAGATACATTGTTAGTGCTTAAGGGAAAGTATCTACTGATACATAGTAACTACTCAATAACTGTTATGTAGAATTTCTCCCTCTCTCCCTCCCTCCCTTCCTCCCTCCCACCCTCCTTTCTTTCCTTCCCCCCGTATCTCTCTCTCTCTCTCTTTTTTTAATTTGAGACAGGATTTCACTGTGTAGCTTAGGACCTCAAACTTGCTTCAGTCCTTTTGCCTCTGCCTCCCAAATTCTGGGATTATCGTGTGTGCCACCATGCCCAGTTCCTGGGAAATTTCTCTCATTTTGCAGACATTGCATATTTTCATAGACATATAATAGTTCAAGATAGATAACATGATAGTATTTAGATTCAGGGAACAGGGCATGCATGTAAGGCAGGTACTAAGTCATATTCTACTCACATCATTACCCACATCATTATCTGAAGCTCTTTGCAAGATATGCTGATTTGTTTCTTTTTCAAGGCACAGCTATAGCTGCAGGAGAACATTTAGGGGAAATAGTCACTAGTTGCTCCATCTGGCCAGCCTCGGGGTGAAAAATAGACTCATAGCCCACACTCTGTGTAATCAGCTCTCTGCTATTCGGTAACATTTGTAATTGGGGGCACGGTTTTAAGAAGGAAGGCTGTGGACCCCTGAATGTCAGGCTCAATGGTTTCCCTCATGTCCCTTCTCTAAGGTCTGAAGGCATCTCAGACCTGTCCTGGTTTAGGAGAAGCTCTTGCTGTTTTCTCTACACTCTTCTTCTGCATACTTGTCATTTCAGTGAACAGTCACTCCATTCATTCAGTCACTCAGGATTGATGGGAGGTCAATTGTGGGTTTAGGGGAAAAAGGAAATGTTAAGGATGACTGCAAGATTTCTGCCCTGAGGACTGGAGAGATGACTCAGTGGTTGAGACCACTGGCTGCTTTTGCAGAGGACCCAGGTTTGAACCCTAGTCCCCACATGGTAGGTAGCAACCATCCTAACTCCAGTTCCAGGGGATTCAGTGCCCTCTTCTGACCTCCTTGGGCACTGCACTTACATACATGCAGGTGATATATACATAAAAATAATAAAATATTTAAAAAATATTTTTGCTCTGAGTGACTGAATGACTTAACTAACCTACAATGTTCATATAATACTTCAAAACATCATGTTGCACCACTCAAAAATGCAAATAATTTAATCTGCCAACTTAAAATTGTACCTGTTAATTAACAAAAGGAAAATATATTTTAAAAGACATAGCTATTATGTGCCTGGAAGGGAGGAGAGGGAAGGAAAAGGAGGGGAGGAGAGAAACTTTACATAAGGACCATATTAGAAATTTCTTTGTAGTTTCTAAAGCACTTGATCAGTGCATTGTACTAAAAAATTATTTATTATATACCAAATATTACTTAGCACTTATTTCATGATTTCTTATGTTTGTGTTTGTGTTTGTATAGATAAGCCTAGGAGTATATAGCTTTTTAATCAGAAGAAAATATAGGTAAATACAGTGGATGTCATCTTTTAGGCATATTTGTCTTTGCCCCTCCCCTCCCTTCCCCTTCTTCCTTTCTTTTTGAGACAGAGCATCATGTAGTCTAGTATGTACCTGAGGACGAGCTGGAACTCCTGACCCTCCTACCTCTACCTCTGAAATGCTGGAATTACAGGCAAGGGCTTCCATGCTCATCTGATCTTTTCTTTCTGACTCTGTATCCTCCGACTTTTTTGGCCAACTTCAAAACAGAACCCCACTTTTTCCTGAAGTTTTGTAAAAATGCCTTTTCAGGGGCTAGAGAGATGCTAGAGAGGACACAGATTCACTTTCCAGCACCCACATGGCATCTAGCAACTATCAGTAACTCTAGTTCTGGGGAATCCAGTGCTTTCTCTGGCCTCTGCAGGCATTACATGCACATGGCGCACTTAAATGAAGGTGTTAACACTCATAATATATAAATAAACGAAAAATGCCTTTTCATAGAACTAAAATCTTCTTAAATTGTGTTATTTATATTACTTTCCAACAAACTTTATAAAAATAGTTGTATATATTAATCAATAATAATTAATTAATCAATTAATAATCAGCTGTAGCCCCAGCTGACCTGGTATTCACTTTGTAGACCAGGCTGGCCTCGAACTCATAGCAATCTGCCTGCCTCTGCCTCCCATCCCAAGCGCTGGGAATAAAGGCATGCACCACCACACCTGGCCTAGAATAGAACATTTTTACTGGTAGTGTAGAATATAGATCAAACAAATAGATCAAAGACTGGACAGATTGATTCTGATTGAAAGGGGATTTATATAAAATAAATCTTAAAAGTCATTTTAAAATCACAGATCAGGGTAGGATAGCAGAAGAATTTATTTAGAACAGCACAATAATAAGCAATTTAGCTTAACTGGAAGCTTATAGAATTAATTACATTTTTTATTACTTTTTACACAAAATCATGAAGGATTCTAAGTTAAAAAGAATATACTCAGAGACCTAATTCTTTTCTTATGGCAAAACTTCCTTATTTCATCTTTTAAGGTTCCTTTTAGTTTTGAGAATTTTATTTGTTTCAATAAATCACAGAATTGAAAGAGGCTTCCGAGGATAGGAAGACACATACTGAAATTTCAAAACTTGGACCAAATTATTTTTGGTACTTCATACATTACAATGCTAATGATGGATAACAAATGCTCTCATTTTTCTAGTGATTCATTAGAAGTTTTGGAGGAATTCATTTTCTAAGAACCTCGTATTCTGAGACATACTTCAAAAGTAAGACATTGCTCTGTAACCCACCAGAACTAGATAGTAAGTGCCTGTTGTTGAAGACATCACACACTTGAGTCACAAGACATGGTGAAACATCCCTTCTGGCTAGCTTTTGAAGTGCTGGAAGATTCTATACAGGATGCTAAGGGAAAAAGTTATCAGCAGTCTTACCGAGCCATGAACCCTGTGAGCTACAATAACAACTGACCTGGTAAAATATGCCCATTGGTGCAATAGTGGAATGAATGTTATGGAAAATAACCAATCACTTTCTGATTGGATTTAAGGTGTGCTCCACAGGAAGAAACTCAGGTCTGGTACTATAAACCTGGCAAATATCTGTTCTGGGTAGGACATAGACCCTAGAGAAGAAAATACTATTATTTTGCTAAATGGACATAGTATCAAATTACTCTCTAAATACTGTATACCAGATTAG